CAAAAAACAGTAACAAAAAAAATTGAAGTATACTTACAACGGTACCTTCAATAAATGATAATTTCAAAAATTTTTTAAAATTCTTCATTTTATGCATTAATTGCTTTCTGATTTTTTATTTTATAGTTAAAAATTAAAAAATTTAATTGTATGAATTTTATAGTGGTGAGTGCGTTTATTATTTTCATATTGACAGCTGTCAAGTGTCATCAATAAAATATACTTAAATATAGGGTATCTTCGGAATTGCATCTTCGACGTATCAGACATATTACGTCTTTTGTTTCAGACCATACTAGCCGTTTTGGAATATTTCTTACAAAATATTGGTTTGCTTTTTTAATGTCTCTAGAAGATTGTGAGATTCATTCTCAATTTGGTTGATTTCGAAGCAAATTTTTATATAATATTTCATTTGGTTCATTATGTAAGATATATACACTTTTTGCTTATTGGATTAGATACACACATATAATTTTTTTTATACATGTACACTTAATTCTCTTTGAACTTTAACTTTTACCCTGAATGTCCAGAAGATGTAATACTTTATACTATATTATTTTACTATAAATTATTATTATAAAATGTATTTTAATATATTTTTGCCTGTTCTAATTATAATTATACGATATACGAACCAATTATATTGTTAAATATTTATCAGTACACCCCTGTTTACAGAGTTTTCACTTATGTGTTGAAATTCTTGTTCAAATCAAATATACTTATCTACTTAATTACATACCTACTGATATACTTACATAAAAGTACAAGTTATTTAAGTATATTTATACATGACATATTTTGTATGTACAACGTATGTACATCTGAAAATAATTTTTTTGTGTGAACACGTTCTGGTATTAATTTAAATCTATGAATTCTTCTTTTTATTGTTAATTATTTTTGTAGAAAATATTAAACTTTTTGAAATGAGGACCAAAAAATTAATTAAGGTTTGAGTTTAAAATATTAAAAAATTTTTAAATAATTTTATACTTTGTATATTATTAATATTAAGCTATTGTAAACTAACCTAATAACTTTGTATTTGAATTTGAATAATTTTTTTTTAGTTTTAAGTGAAAAAATCACGTACATGAAATTAATTAATAAATATAATTGCATAAATACTTACATAACAACCTATATATTCATTTGTATCTTATTCCTTTATTATAAATATATAAATTATTAGTTATAGAACAAAATTTGTACAGAAAATAACGAGAAATTATAAATAATGAAATCTAATTATTGTTATTTTTAAATAAAAGTATAAAAATATATTTTTAATATTCTTGACTAGCTACATACAAAAAATCATATGTACATAATTTAATTTTGATGTATTTGTTGAAACTCAACAAAAAAAAAAAATTATTTCAGGTTTTTTTTTTTTTTCATCTCCTTCAAGGTCAAAAGTGGAAGTTGTAGATTTAGTTTTGCGGTAATAGCAACGCGAACGCGAACGAAATGAAAGCTTTAAAATAGTTTTTATTTTTTTTTTTTATTGCTTTCATTTTTTTGCTTTTATTAAAAAGTTTTTTTTTTCATATTATTTAATAATAAATTTTTTTTCATGTCAAGTTTGAATCGAAAATTTGTATACTCGTACGTATACGTTAGTTATGTACATACACAGATGATCATAATGTATGAATGTACGAATACAAGCTATTATTGCTAGATGTTCTGATTTTTTTTTTCGTTATTGAATAAAAAATTGTGATTCTTTATTTTTTGGAATTGGCAAATTTGTTAATTGAATATTTTTTTTAGTGAAAATGAAAAAAAAATTGTAATTTCATTTTAATTGTAAAAAAAAAATTGAATTTTGACAATAAAATTCAATAACTTTTTTTTTTTTTTGCAATATTGCCCTTAAAAACATTTTCTAGTAATAATTAAATCTCAAAATTGTGTCATTAAACGATTGTCAAACGTACCGTCGAAAAATTGTATTCATATTTATAGTAACATTTTGATGATTAGGCAACACGATATGCAACATTTTATAGCCATTCTTATTTTTACTACATTAAATATTAACATGACATTTTTTAATATTGTGATGTCACTTCCATTGCCTTTCAATTATAATATCTAGTAAAATAAGTATATTGACATACATTTATGTGTATGTATATTCGATATTTGTATTCAAAAATTTAATTAGTAGATTTGAGAAATTTAATATTTAAGTATATGAGACTAATTAAGATATAAGACTATTACATATTTGCCTAATCATTACCCCTGAAAACCAGCACTTTTTTTAAGAATCAATCATCTGATATCTAAGTATACAAAAATTGTGTCCTAAAGTGGTTAATGGTAATGGAATATTAATAAATATGTAAATTAAAACAAAATAAATTTTAATTTATTAATTATTATAAATAAAATTGTCTTAATCAGAATGGTACTGCTCTTGTAATAAATATGATCGCATATATGTATGTGTGTACCTACGTTTTTGGTGGTGACCCCTAAGTTCATTTCAAATAAAATGAAATGTTCAGGCCGTTTAGTTTTCAAATAACCAAAAATTCTGTTAACTGGTTACTTGCTATATAGTATATTTATTTTCTTATCCAATAAAACATTATAAATTGCTTTGTAAATTATAGAGATTAAGGCCATTTCCAAAATAAACCATCCATATCATGTCATTGATAGTTGAAATGTAAAAATCTAACAATAAGAGCTATCTTTTACGAATAATTACAGCAAATACTTTTATGATGTCCATTTTATGGCATTAAAAAAAAATCTGTCCCAATGTCCCAATTTATTAAATTAATTTTATTATTCATAATAAGAACTTTCTCAACTGAAATTAAGTTTTTTTTTTTTGACCCATAATTCAGTATAAACAGTAATTTATTGGTGATATTCAATTTTCAAATCATAAAAAAATTTAATATTTAAATAAGCTTAAATAAAACATAACGAAAATTTTGCAACATAAGTACTTAAATAAATAAAATATTTTATAATAGGAATTTTAAATATGCAAGTGTAAGCGTTTAAGGATAATATTCTTTTAAATTATTATTTATCTGAATATTAAATATATTAACAAGACTCAAAATATATTCATGCCAGTTACTTATATACAAGGTACTTATATTTTTTACTAATATGGTAAAAATGTTGAGATACATAATTCATATATTTACATGCATAAATATTTAAGTGTTGTTGCTTTTATAATATTGTATGCTACCAGAATAATATAAAGGCCATTCTGTTTTAGGTAAAACGTAGATTATCATCCGCAAAAAGAAAACCAGAATAAAATCATAAGAAATTGTACATTTGTATGTAGATTTACTTGTGTAGTTACTATTGTATATATGCATAATATGATTGCACATCTGAATGTATGTGCGTACATATGAATATATTATATGTATGTACAGTCAGTTTTTATATATAATAATTTCAAGAGTATCTAAACAAAAAGTCTGAAAATTTCTCGAGCATAAAATAAATAAGAAATTGAAAATAAAAATTGTTTAAAGGCACGCGGTTAATGCTCTTCAGCTTGTCTGTTTTTTGTTTTATTTTTTTTAAAGATAGTTCCTTTTAATAATTTTATTCTTGATTATTACTTACATACATATATGTATGTATAATATTATGGATTGTTCTAAATAATGTCTATTCATTAATTGTTTAACAATGTTACATTTTATTGAAATTTTAATGAAATTACTCGTATAATTAATTTATATTAAAAAAATATTAAGTTTTAATTTTGAAGGTATTTAACGCGGCATTAATAAACAATTAATTATACATATATACATATGCATACGTATACATATTTGTTGCAAATCTATTTTGTATAACTACTCCAAAAACGCATCTTATTCAATACTTATTTCTTACGTGAGTAAGAAATAAGAATTGAAGTTTTATTGACGTAAGCTGTATGACAAAATTTAAGCAACTTCATCGTAATTTGTCTTAAAACGTGTAAATTCACAAAAGCTGCATATGCAAAAATGTGAAAAATTTATATGTATGTATGTAAGTGAATGTGAAAATTGATACATAATTATTTTAAAATTACAAATACGTTACATGCATACATACGTATGTATGTTAGTTAGTTGAAATTTAGTTAATTTTTGTAAACGAAAATCTATGAATATTTACATACATAGTATATGGATTGCATCTTAATAAAGTAAACATAAAATAGTATGTACACATTTACATACCTATTTTTGAATTTTTTATATACTTAAATATGTACATTTACATTCAAGTTTGCATTTTTAGGTCTATATTTCTGTAAAAATTATTGTTAATGGAGCAACAACCGAAAAAGTAAGGTTATATTCTTTAAAGTATTTCATATATAAATAAATACATGTACATATGAATGTAATTCATATTTCAATCGGGCTAATTTTTAAAATTCAAATTTTTGAGTATGTATATTTTCCTATAAAATTTAACTGTTGTGCAAAATTATTCTTAGAAATTTAATTTAAAATTGGAAGTAATCCCTGTATTTTTACAATATTACGGAATCTAAATGAAAATTCAAATTGATTTTCATGCGAAAGTATTTTTTTTTTCGTTTCTTTTTATTTTGTTTCCTTTCATTTTTTCTTATCAACTTCATTTTTAAAAGATGACATTTTGAATTTATTTCCCTATAAACAAATTTTCAAATATGAAATAACCCAACAAACCAAATGACATAAAGTCAAAAAATGAAAAACAACAAAAAAACATTATTCCAATAATATAAAGTAAAATACAAATAACTATTGCTCTCTTTTTTACAGCTTTATAGTTTTATTGTTTTCTCTTTTCAACATACATAAATATTATGTTTTTATTCCAATATTTCCAAGTTTCTTTATTGAAAAATTTGTTCTTGTTTTTTTTTTTTTTGTTATTATTAATTTTTGCCTATTCTTTTTTTCGCTGTCAGATTTTTATTCGCTGTATTTCAATTAAGATTTTCCCTGTTTGCAAATTTATCGTCTACAATTTCTTTTGTATATTATTTTTATAAATAAATGAATTGTGTTTAATTAAAATTAAAATAATAAGTTATAAATTATGTAATTTACTATTTTTGAGATTAAAGAAATAAAAATCGAAGAATTATTAAATATTTAGGTAAGTGTTATTCAAAAAAAAAAAAAATATATTCTTTATTTTGAGGTTAAAATTATTACTTTTTTTGCTTTTCACAAAATGTCTGCCGATAGAAAATTTTTTCCAATAAAAAAAAAAAAAGAAAATAAAAAATCGATTCGTTGCTTTAGCAAACATAATAATTTTTTTTATTAAATGTAATTATGATTTTATTGTTCTTATTTTTAAGAAATATTTTTAATTTAAGAGAAAATTAAAGAAATAGTTAAAATTCAGTAAAGCCAACATAATTTTATTAGCTTACCAAAAAAAAAAACTTACAAATTATTTTTGGAGGGAGAATATTGTTATTTTTGTGTCGTTTTATTTTTTTTACCAAATTTTTTGATAAGATTTTTTGTTAATTGGGTAGATCTACCTATAATTATTTGCATATTTTTACACTTATTATTTTGTATATTTTAATTTAAGCTTCATGTAATCTCCTGGTGGTTTAATTTTCATATATGAGTTTAAATTTAAAGTTTGATAATGCCGGGTAAAGAAAATAATGTTTTTTTTAACATTGTTTATATTCATAGAATTCATAGCTGACTATGTAGGTATATTCGCACTTAAAAAAATTTTAATTGGTGACACATATACTTTAATATACTTACATAAATTATTTGCGTATACTTTGTAGGTAGTGTTGCTTATTAGTTATTATTTTTGTATATGGGTGTCCTTTAGTTCCTTAAAAATTTAATAAACTTCATTGTATACCTACTTACCATACACAAAATTTTTTTTTGAAATATAAAAGAGTTTTTATTTAAAACAATTATTTTTTTGATTCTGGGAAATTGTAACAATTAAAAACCTCAATTATGGTGGGTAATTGTTTTGGAGAGAGTAATTTTTTTTTATTAAGCATCCTATAAATTATATTGAAACCTACTTCTGATATATACTAAACTGAATTTAAAAAACAAATTTTTAAAATCAAATTCTTTAATATAAAGCGAAAATAAAATCGCAAATAATCTTAAAGAGTAGAGTTCTTATAGCGTAAATAACGCGAAATAATGATAACGACTTATTTTTGATTTAGAATTTCTAAAAATAATACAAAAATAAATTTTATCTTAAAATAAAATTACAAAAAACAAAATCAGTTTTAAGAGAAACTTGTGTTGTCGTATGCCTATGTCGGACTTAGTTTAAGTATGTATAATGTTTCAGTGGAAGATGTGAAATTAAGAAACAATTCAAGGACACTTTAAATTGATATTGCACGTATATAAAATAGCTTGAAAAAATTATCACTATTAGTATAGTATGAAAACGGCAAAAAAAAAATTAAATAAGAAAAATTTACGTGAAATATAAAGAATTTTATTCTTTAATTGAAGTTTTTGTGTGAAACAAAATGAAATAAATTTAAATAAAATATATAAAAATTGATGATTTTGTTCGCAACATAATTAGATCTTTAGAAAGAGGAAAAAAACAAAGAAAATAAAGTATGATATGAAATGAAACATTTATGACTGTTAATGTTACAAAATTAGGCGCAACACTTTTTGTGAAAAACTAGAAACATAAATTCAAATGCATTTTAAGAACAAAGGACACTCATATAATTAAATTGAAGCCTGCCTAGATATTTTAATTGTGCATATTTCAAAAATTACGATATGTTTTCAATTTACCTAAATTTTTTTTAATCGGCAGACTAGTTCAACTAATTAAAATACGAGAAGTTTTGCGATTTCTAAATTAAATTGATTTAAAGTGTCTTTATGTTTGTTTACTTTATTGGTTATTTTTTTTTTTTTTTAAATTTAGACAAAAAATATTGTGTCCGTCTTTAACATTGTCTACATCTTATAAGAATAATGCCGAAGGAAAAAATTTTAAATGGTGATATTCCAATAAATGGCAAAAGAAAAACTAATCACTTTCATTCATTTCCGTCAATAACAGCTGCTAATCATAAAAATGAAACAGTTTTCTTGAGCGGGCAAATTTTATATTTTGAAATAAACAAGAAATTCAAGTTTGTTTGCAACGTATGTAAAACAAGAACATTTCAAAGATTAAAAGAATTTTTTAAACATTTTAAGAAATGTTACGCTAAAGAAAATACACATAAGACGAAAATTTTAAATGGTAAGTTTTTGTAATAATTTGAAGAAATTGTTACAAAATATTTGCACAGAAACATGTTATTTTTATATTTGAAAATATATGTATAAAAAAATTTTATTTAATAGAATCGAATTCATTTGTGACCGCGCCCAGAATAATAGAAAATACAAATATAATAGAGAATATAATTCGTCAAAATGCTTCAGAAAATATTACTGATGAAACTGAACAAATTTATATAGTAAATTTTCCACAATTTCCAAATGATTTAATAAATGGAATTCATATAAATTCTGAAAATATTGATGAAAGATTATCAAGTAATTGTCAACTTGAAGAAGGATGTGATGATGTGCAAGAAATAGGTGAAATTGATTCAAATTATTGTGTTGAATCCAACGATTCGTCAGGCGATATCGTTTTTTATAATGAATTATCATCAGAAAATTATAATACTTCTAGTCAAAATTTGGAAAAAGATTATATCACTGATAATGAAATAAATATAGAAAATGAAAATGATCCATTTAGTATAATAAGGCAAAAAAAAAATTCAAACGAATCAAATGTTGATGGTGTGAATAGCCTTACTGATTGCGATATCAGTATAGTAAATAATAATAATTGTGGAAATGAAATTAAAAGTCATTTATATTTGAATTTTAATAATATAACAGAAACAAAATTAGATAATTTTGAATTATTTGAAGCTATTGAAGAAAAATGGAGAGTTGAACTCAATAATGATAATAATGAAAATTTAAGTATAGAAAATTCTAATGAAACATTTAATATTAGTACAAATAATAATTTAAAAGATAATTTAATTGCAAATCATAGTACATTATTAAGTAATATTATTGAAGATAATGATTTTGATAGTAATGATACATTAAATAGCGTAGAACCAAATATTATTGATAATTGTGAAATTATTGTCCATCAGGAAGATTCTGAATTTGATGATTTACCTAATTTTAATATAATTTGTGAAAAATGTAAAGGTCAATTTAATTCAATTGAAGAATTACAAAAACATCGTAAAATTTTAAATCCATCAAATCCAAATATATATGAATGTGATTTACATTTTGTCACTAAAAAAAACAGCACTTTGATTGATTCAACAAATAAAATCGATAGAATATCACATCAGTGCGTATATTGTAATAAAAATTATTTAAAAAAGGATCATTTAATTGAACATGAACGTAGTATGCATTTAAAAGACGCACCATATGAATGTGTTTATTGTAATAAAAAATTTGTAACAAGTGTAGCACGCGCCAGTCATGAAAAACGACATGTTTTAAGGAAAAATTAACGATTATTTATATTTAATATAATTTTTAAGCTATAATTATTAAGATAGCAATATAATTTATTTAATATTTGAAATTTCTTTTGTTTAGTAATAATTTTTTGTTTGAGTTGTTAAATAAATTTCGGCTAAATTTAAGTTAAAAAGGAAATTAATTTAAGCACAATTGAAATTATTTAGTGAATGTACTTATTAATATATTTTAGATATATCTGTCTTAGATATTATGTGCACACTTAGCCTAATTTGAAAAAAAAAAAAAAAAACAAAAAATAATAAAATTAGCATTTTTTTTTTAATTTTAGACAATTAATTTTTTTTTTGTTACGTTATTTATTTTTGCTAAGCAATGTAGGTCAAATTGATCAGTAAGCTTTAGGAAAAATTAAAATAATTAGGTAAGGTTCAAAAATTCTGATAAATTTTAAAATAAAGTTTTATGGTAAGTGAAAGTATTCGATGAATTTTTTTAAGTATTTAAAATTGTAAAACACATCCATTCGCTGTTAATTTTTTGAATGTATTTAAATTTCCTAATAGAATTAAGGTAATCTGTTTAAATATAAATAAATTTTCTTGCTCTCTAAAACTTGTTTATTTGGGGTTTTTTCAATTTTTACTGTAACAAATTCATTAATTTTTCAATAGCATTTTATTGGTAATACGGCTGGCTTCTTCAACGTAATTGTGTTTATAGGATAAGTTTAAAAAACTGTTTAACTATAAATATCTAGTTTAAAAAAATCAGGATACCGAATTTTCGCAATTTTTTTTCGACAAAAATTTGAATCAACACAACTTATATTAATAGTTTTGTAGTGGACTACGAGTACCTCTAATTTTGTAAATAATTTTAAGGGTAATAAGCTTAAGATCACTTGTATTTTTGCATACGAATAATTTTTAAAATTTTGGTTTTTTATTCAAATTTGTATTTAATTTAATGCTTTAAAAAATTTGACTAAATTCGGCAGAGATTTTCAATTGAAATTTTATTTATTTATTTTCTGTAATTATATTTGACTAATAAATATATTTAATAATCTAATATCAAAATTAAATTTACAGACATTTTTTTTTTTTTTTTTTTGTATAAAACTTAGACCCAAAGCTAATTTAGAATAACAATGAAAAAGATTTGGGAAGACGATTAAAAAATTTTTTCTCATTTTTCCAGATATTCATTTAGAGAATGCTAAAACTGAATTAGTAATTTTTTAAGCCTAAGCCAGAAATTTTGTTTTCATTTTGGATTATAATGGATAGTTTCTTTTATTCCTGCGGTCAAATATTTTATAAAATTGCAAATAATAATTTTCTTATTGTATGTAATACATGTAATACAGAAAATTTTGAAGATTTTAATAATTTTAAGCAACATTTTCAACAAAATCATTTATTAAAACATGATAGAAATGATATTGATTATAATAAAAATTGTAATGGTAAGTTAATTGAATTTAAAAAAATACAGGCAAATTGTAATATAAATTTGTGCAATTTATTATATTTAGATTTAAAATATTATACAACTACAAACGACACATGTAATAATGAAGGCTCATTCGAAACGAATAGTAATGAAGATTTTTCAAATATCCACTCTACTGATTTAAATATTTATAAGAATGATATAATTGAACTAAATGATGATTCCGATGATAATATGAAGAAGGAAAATATTGTTCACAATGAAAACGCAGCTGTTATGGTTATTGCAGAAGAAATATCTAAAAATAATTTGACAAATATAATCACATCGAATAATTTAAATAGTTTTGAAGAAAATATTAAAAATGGGAGTTCTAACAATTTTATCTTACCGAATGGATTCACATCTACTTCAACAAAATATATTGAAATAAATGATTCTGAAGATTCAGAAGTGGATGAAGAACAAACTGAGCATGATGTTAAAACTGTTATTGATATGAATGATGATAATAATTATAATGTTATTGAAGAACAACCAATATTTGATTGTGATGCAAATATTTCAATTAATAATAATATCAAAATTCAGACATCAATAGCAATTGAAACACCAATAAATGATATTTTATCATCATCCATATTAACTAAAAATTCAGTTCAATGTAATTTATGTGAAAAATATTTTAATAATGTTAAACAATTAAAATTACATCATCAAGATTTTCATACTATTATTAATTCAAAATTTTATCGTTGTAATAAATGTGATTTAAGTTTTTCAAAAGAGAAATCATTAATAAATCATAAGAAAATTGCTCATAATATTGATATTTTAAAAATTTATTCCACCAATACTAATAAAAGAAACAATGATAATGATAATGAAAGAAAAATATTAAAAAGAAATTTACAAAAAGATGAAGAAGAACAAAAACAAAATACAAAAACGTATTTAAAACAATTACAAAATTCAAAACAATCAACAAAAGAATGCAACGAAATCTATTCAAAATTAATTACTGAACAAATAACTCATATTAATCGTAAATATTGTAAATTATGTGGTAAAAGATTTAAACAAATTCGTCATTTAATTGCACATGAACAAAAGCATTCATTTAAAAAGAAATTAAATCCTTGTTCATATTGTGATAAAAGTTTTGTTAAAAAAGGTTCTTTAATTGATCATGAACGTACTGTACATACAAAAGAGACACCATATAAATGTGAATATTGTTCAAAATGTTTTACAACATCATTAAAACGTGATAATCATAAAAATATTCATACTGGTGATAAACCATATAAATGCAGTGAATGTAATGAAGGATTTATGACATCAACAAGAAAATATCGTCATATGATGACAAAACATTTAAATTCTGATGATGGTGGTAGATATAAATGTAGATTTTGTACAAAAAATTTTTTTACATCTAATGAAAAATTATCTCATGAAAATGAAATTCATTCGAATTTATTATATAATATTAAAAAAAATTCAATTATAAAATAAATTATTTATTAAAATAAAAAAAAAAAAACAAATTAGTAAAACTTGCTAATAATGATAAAACATGGTTAATTATAATGATAATTCTAGTCTAATCCAAAGAATAATTAATTATTATATTTTTTTTTTTAAATAAATAAATAAAATTATTATTTGTTTGTCAATTATTATTGTGCTTTTTATAGACTTAAAAAAATTAAACATTTATATTAGTTTATATTCAAAAAAAAACATATTTAAATGCAATTAAAATTTAAATATAAAAAATAAAATTAAAATAGTATAAATTTAAAATTCAAATTGTAATAATGCAAAAAAAAAATTAAATTATTAAGTCAATTAATTTGTGATTTTTAAGAATATTCATATTTGACGAAAAATAAAAGTTAATTAGATAAAAAGTTAAAATAAGTGTTATATTACTTTTTTTTTAGATTTAAAATATAGGGGATAAGTAAGCATAATTAGGTATAATAAAATAAATTTTTTAATTAGAATTACATATATGAACTAACAGAACAATATAGTCAATTGAAATTTAATAGTTAAGTGATGACTAATTATAACCGTGACCATAAATTTAAGTTTTTAAAATGTTCGAACTTCAACTCTTAGAATGGAAAAATGTAAGTTCATATATATCTTACTTAAATATTATTATTGAAATCCAACAAAGTATTGACTGTAATCATGGTTTGGGTAAGCTAATGGAATACAATAAAGTATGGCTTACATAATCACCCTTATTCTGTAAGTCGTGTCGCTTGGCGTGATGGTGGGCTCGGTGTATTTTCATAATAAAATCAATTTAAAAATTTAAAAATTCTATACTGAAAACCAAATTTATTTAATGACTGTAACAATAATTGAATTGATTATGAGTTTAACTATAGTATGGCTGGTCAAATTCTTGAATATTGTAGAGATTCTTTAAGCTATTTCAATTAATTTTTTCGGCTTCCCTTCTATAATTCTTAACGTTAGAGTATTCAATATTTTTGTTTCAAATAAATTCTTGTTTCATTTGTACCAAGATTATTTTCTTCGTATTCTTAATATTTAAATTCTCAAACTTTTAAATTAAACTATTACAATAAACTATTATGTATACCTATAAACACATTATAATGTTATATACTAACTAATATAAATATTGTAGTTCTAAAATGATGTCAATTGAATAGTAATTTCTAGATGACCTTGCATTAGTTTTGCGTTGTTTTACATATTTAACAGCATTTTTTATATAAGTACATTTTATTGCAGTAAATTTTATTAATTTTTTTCTTTTTTAATATTTAATGTAAGCCGCAATATGATTATACATAATAAGGTTTTTATCATTAAATTTAATAGATGTGTAAAATCAACAAACGTCACGCATTCTATTCAATCTTTATTTTTTTTTATTATTTATTTTATTATTTGAAATTATCATTTTTTTTTTATGTTTCTTTTGAATTCAATTTGGATTACTTGTAAGTTTTTAGTACATTGTAAGTATTTAGTCAGGTAATACTTATATAATGCTATTAAAAGATTATTTTCGGTAAAAAAATTTGTATAAGAAAAAATTTTAATATTGAAAATCATATTGAAATTGTTTTTTTTTTTCCAATTGAATTATTTTGATATATATAATCATTTCTCAAGAGCCAATGTACTAGTACTGTATTACTGCAAGTTGTATAACAACTATATTGCTAAGCTTATTTAGTATTAACGTGAATTCATTTAATTATGAAAATAAAATTTAATGTTGAATAAAATTAAATAATATTTTTCTTAAATATACTTATATATATATCTACGTACTATATTTCCTTGAAATATATTGTAACAAATTAATATAAATTCGATAAAATTTATATTTGTTTTACAATTACAAATTATTAGTAAGCATATGTATTATACAATTTTAATTAAGTATAAGGAGATTTAGTTATATAAAATATGGTGAATTTCTCTTTATTGAATTATAATTATTAAACACTTTAATTTATTTATTAATTAATAAATATTTTTAAAGTTCGTGATTATTGTTCTTGAAGTATTAATTATTATTTAATTGAAAAAAATCCTTTGGGTTTGAGTTTTTATGTGAAATTTATTAAGTTTAGATCAAAAATTTATAAAATTATTTTAATATTCCTCATTTTTAAAGTAATATAAAAATTGCTAAAGTAGTTCTGTGTCTTATTTTAAATTTTATTATTATAAATTTAGTGAGAAAAATCCTATATATAGTTCTATTTTTAGTATTTTAATAATCTTCATCTGAAATTACTTATATATTTAAAAATTTTTAATTTTCTGTCATATAGAACCTTTTGCGTTATACTTTTTGTGCAGCTCAATAGCTCAATATGTTTTATATTTTTATATTATGTTTCATAGAATAAGCTCTTGATATACATATATTAGAATCATATTCTCTCTCAATTTGAGATTACATTTAAGAAAATATAAAATCAAATATGAAACTTTCAAGGCATTAAACATTTTGAAACACTACACTACCTGTAAGTCAAGTTAACTCTCTTTTTGTTACTTCATGCAATTAAATATTGCATATTTTTAGGTTATCAAACATTTTTTCAACTCAACATTTATGGAAATTAAGTAAATATTAATTGGTTTAAATTGTATTAGTAGACTACTTTCAAGATATAATGTGAAAAGTATCATAATTTAATAATATGTAAGACAAAAATTAAAAAAAAAAAAATTAGGCATATTAGGCATAATAACTACTTACTTGCCAATTTGTTTTTATTTCTGAATGACACAATTTTAAAAATTTATGTAACATTAACGCTGGTTGAAGGTAATAATATTCATTCCTCTCTATTCAAATTTTTCACCTCATAAAATATAATTTATTACCAAAACAATTTAAATGTATAGTAATTATGGTTTTTTTTTTCTTGTTTAATATTTCTTAGTAGAAAACAAAAGAGTGTCTCCACAAAATTTCACTTAGGAATTCAAAACATTTCTGTGTCAACATTTTTATTTTTTAAATTTTTTTTTAGGATTAATATCACATTTTTATAAACATGACATATAATAATTCATACTGTTATGTATGAATCTAAATTTGTCATTATACACGAATGAATAAGTATGTATATTACATTATGGTAGGAATGCTTCTGTTTTTTATTTAATTAAATTGAAATTCCTAAATATTTAAGTAAGAAAAATGAAGAGCAAAAAAGGCAAATATGTGTGTAATAAAAAATTGGTGTAATGTTTGCCATATTAATGTTAATTTTTATGGTTAACACTTTACAGTTTTTTGGCATTGTGATTTTTTCTTTTGCTTATGATGCCTACCATTTTTTGGATTTTTATTATCTTTACTTTCACTAAATAATTATTATTCGGCAAATAATAAAATAAGTAGAAATAAAATTAAGAAACAAAAATAATTTTTTTCTACGGTTCTCTTTAATGAAATTAATAAAATTAACTGAAATTTTTTAAGAAAAATAAAAACTTAAAATAAAATTTAAAATAAAAGAAACCAGAAAAACAAAAAAAAAAATAAAGCAAAAAACATAACGCCACCACAGTCCACCGACACCATTAAAGCACTACACAACTGTTGTTGCTACCATCACACATATTGCTTGCCATCACAATTACCATTATCGTAATAATTTATTTGTTTTTTTTTTATTATTACATTTTTTTTTATTTTTATGATCAAAATTATTATAAAGATAAATTATATAGCAAAAAACTTAAAAATAAAATGAAAAAAAATTTTTACGTTGAAATGAAAAGTTCACAAAAATTATTTACGTGTTGTGTTGTCTTCTTGTTGCCGAAAACCAATGACTCAGTTAATCGTTAAAAATTTTGATCGGAACGAAGGAAAAGAAGAAATAAAAAAAATGGCGAAAGTAAACAAGATAAAAAAAAAACCCGGACGATTGATTTGATCAACCTGACGCGAATTTATTTATTTATTTTTTTCCCCCATCTTTTGTCGACATTTCAAGTACGTAGGGAAGCGTTCACATCATGTCATATACCTTAATGAAAAAAATTTGAAACATTCAAGAAATTGCCAATTTAACACTTTCAAATAATTTTTTTTTTTGTACACATACATAATTACGATTTTGTTTTATTTACTTAATGTGGTATAATTGGATTATTGTTTGCCATTTACGGGATTTTAATTATGGCCAGATTCAAATTTCGATTTCAATATTAATGTTTCAATTATAAAAGTTTACGTTTTGAATCTTTTAATTTCTAATGAAAATCAATTTTTTTAATAAAATCTTGTAAATTTCTCTTGCCATTCGTAAAAGAATTTTGTATATAACTCAGATCGTATGTAATTGGGAGTTGAGATATTGAAAATCAAAAAAATAATTCCGTTGTAAAAATTTCTTTTCCTTCAATATATTAATTTTAATTTAATTTACGATTTAATTTTTAATTTCACATAAACTCATGAAATTTCTTATTTGAAATTTTTGGGAGAACATTAAAATCTATTAAATTTACATTAACAAAATACATACTTGTGAGTTTACATTCCGTTATTAACTTAATTGTTGTATTGTTAAGAACGTGAACTTTATTATCAAAATGTCATGAATATGTCATCTAACTTCCAGATTTCAAAATTATTATTGTTTTCTCTTTCCGTGCTTCTCTTCTTTATTTTTCGTTCTTTTTTCTTTTTTTACTTTATTTATTTTTAATGTACATTCATACAAGTAATTGTTTGGTCTATCGTAATTTTTCTAAACAGACAATTTAAGATATTAAAACTATAAATTTTTTTTATTTTGATAAAAATCTTATACAGACGTCAATGCTGCTATTGTGTGTTATGAATTTTAAAATACAAAAGATTTTTGTATTAAAATTTTTTGTAATTTGTAAAATTCACGTTAAATTTTCAATTGTTACTGAGAAAGATCAACGTAACAATTGGTTTTTTTTTGTTTGAAAATTTTATTTTATTACCATGA